AAGGGCAAAAAGAGACCAAAGAAAGAGGCAGAGCACCTCAGATGGGTAAGTGTCACTTTTATACAAGGAAACTTACATGTGAGGCTTGTCTTGGGTGGCCATAAGACAAGTAAATGTCCACTGTCACCTGCCACAATCTTAAAAGTTTCTGTGGAGGCCTTAATGGGTTTCAGTCATGTATGTGTTGAGATGGTCTTCAACAACAACTTGCTCTTTCCAGTCTGTATCCTTGAAAATGATTCCTACTGTGGGAGAACCTTCCAAGGACAGGAGAAGGAGTGAGGAGCCTCCCATGGCCCAGGTCCAGCTCAATGATCAACTGGCGGTCGTGTCCTCTCAATGACCTCCCCCATTTACTCTAAATAAATCAGTCTGCTGAATTATAAGACTGTGCCTTTCTGACCTATGTACTGTAGCATGTGTTAGAATGGATCTAATGGCCCAGGCAATATATTTTGTTCATTCAATAATGAAGTTAGGAACAATTAACGGTGAATAAAGTGAACAAACAACAAACAAAATGAAGTTCGTTATCAAATGAACAAAATAAAGCCAAGGTAACATATGAGTGCTTACCTTCCATGAGCTGATTCCCCTTTTTATTCTCTGTCATCCCTGTTTTCATCTCAAGAGCCTTGCGATTCGAACCAAGGCATGACCCGAAATCAAAATCTGTCAGCCTTCAAGCTAGAGAATCTTAGTAAAACAATAGTTACTTCCTGGAATATTATGGGCTTCAAACCTGTTTTACCATTTGTAACTGACATTGGATAATATCCCTGACTTCTATCAAACAGGCTTCTCAGAACCTTAAGATGAAAAGTTGCTTTAACATTTTTAAGTTCTGACTTCATGGTGCTTATGAAACTCAGAAACTCAGAGCTGGTTTTGTCCTAAGGCAGATGTCCTAAGGCATTGTTCATTGAACAATGTGGGAAGCATACTGGATACCTGAGTTCTTTCCAGTGCTGTTCGAATATTATATGACTAAAATTAAAGAATGGTATAACTACAGATTTACTGGATTTTGTCTTATTTGAACAACTTAAAAAAAAAGAAATCGGTGATAACAAGATTAACTTAAGTTATCCCAAGTTATCTTAGTACAGATTTCATAGTTAAGTTTAGACTTGAGATTTATGTGAAAATATCAATACTGTCATATTAAGGTACATGTTTTTAAAATTATTTTTATATTTGCCTCATACAACCCAACACCATTATTAAAACGGCCATAATGTGTTCTAAGTGACTGTAAATGGTACAGATTCTGGAGAGAAAGCAATAAATTAGAATTATGACTTTCAAACTCTTAAACTTTTGGAGGGGAGGATGCGACAGCCGAGAAATTAATCTTGGGAATTATGACTCTCAATTGTCAAGGGCAAGAACTCAACGGAGGGAGATATCTTTGTTGTTGGTTTCGTTTTGGTTGTTATAATATTAAATAGCTAAAACCTTGTACAGTGAACTGGAGAGTGGGAGAGAACTCATAACAACGAAAGAGTTTTTTTGTTTTGTTTTGTTTTTTCCACAAGCAGTAAGAGCTCAACCTGAGACTGGCAATGTGAGGAGAATTTAAAGGTGAGTGAATCATTGCAAAGAAGCTGCCCCATCCTCTGGGTAGCATACCAGATTCGGGTGAGGTTGCTACAAAAACACACAGCTACTGAGGCTAAGTTCAGTGAGTTTGAAGCGCTCCCAGAGCAGAAAGGATGATAGCTTACCTTCCCAGGGTAGAGCCTGGGAGACTAAAAAAAGCCTCATAGAAAAAACAGAGTCCCAACACGGCAGCAACAAAACATAGAGTTTTTTCAGTCCGCCTTAACAAAGTACCACAACCTAAGTGGCTTAAAACAATAAAAATTTATTTCTTACCGTTCTGGAATCTAAAGTCTGAAATCAAGGAATCGGCAGGGCCTTGCTCCCAGGAAGTTCTGAGGGAGGATCTGTTCTTGCCTCTTGCTTCTTCTAGTAGCCCCAGTGTTTCTTGACTTGTGGCCGCATCACTCCAATCTCTGCCTCTCTTCATATGGCCATCTTCTGTCTATGCCTGTGTCCGTATTTCCTTCTTATAAGGATACCAGTCATACCGGATTAAGGGTCCACCCTACTCCAAGGTGACCATATCTTAGCTAATTATATATGTAGTGACCCTATCTGCAAATGTTATTCTGAGGTACCTAAGATTAGGACAGCAACATATATTTTGGGGGAACACAATTCAATCCACAGTAAGTAACAGTATGTGTTGGCTAAAATGACTGATGGAAGATCACTCAGTCTATACCTACAAACACAGGGCAGGTGAAACAGCTGAGAATTCCTGGGCCCAAGAAAGAAACTTGTATATGAAAATGTCAGGGGAGAAAAGTGGCCTAGAAGCTGGAACAAAATGGATTTATAACCAACTAAAGTGACCATTGGAGGCTGTGACAAGTCCAAGGACTCATCAAGCAGTGAGGGAAAGAAGATACAACCTAATATCTAAGACAGCAGAGTTAAGTTTTTGCTTTTTTCTGGTTAGGATAGAGGACCAGATGCACCTCACCCAATACCAGACTATGAAAGAATCTTAGGAGACGCAATTATCTTCAAAGGAAAAATTTCCCTAGGAAGTAGTAACAGGCAGAGATGAGACACTAAAGATCATGTTTCTGGAAAGTATTATTGGAACACTTGGAGAGAGGCTTAGGATACTGACTAAGTCGTATAACTAGTGAACCCTCAAAATAACAAGAGGATTTTCGTCTTTTCTCTGGCAATTGTGTGAATCAGGGGTTTGAGTAAGGCAATTATTCCCTGAATATAGGGCTTCTATGTCTGGCTGTGGAGCAACCATTTCAGCGGCAACGTTTTTGAGTGTGAAGGGGGAGGAAAAAATTCAGGTCTGGTGGCTTTGACCTTGAAAAGATGACCCTTAGGTTTTGCACATAAATTTCTACTGATGGCTCATTGGTAAAATTGATAACACGGTTGCATACCTGGCTAATAAGGAAAGATGGAAACTGTGGTCAAGAGTTTTCTAGATGCCAAGAGTTTTATTCCTACAACACAGAATAAAACAGTAGGGATATGTCTGTCATAAAGATCACAGAAAATATGGTCTTAGAATATTGTCAACATCTGTGAAAGTTGTTCCTTGAGCAGCCCTCATTTTTTTTTTCAACGTTTATTTATTTTTGGGACAGAGAGAGACAGAGCATGAACGGGGGAGGGGCAGAGAGAGAGGGAGACACAGAATCGGAAACAGGCTCCAGGCTCTGAGCCATCAGCCCAGAGCCCGACGCGGGGCTCGAACTCACGGACCGCGAGATCGTGACCTGGCTGAAGTCGGACGCTTAACCGACTGCGCCACCCATGCGCCCCAGAGCAGCCCTCATTTTTATACTTGACACAAATTCCTTTTAGAAGCAAAACCGGGTGGTCTAAAATATACAGCCAAAAACAAAGAAACAAAAACCCTTTATTGACATGGTTTCTGGTGCCAACCAATGGAACTCTTTCCTCCTGTTCAGAATCTAATGTTACCAAAGAGAACTTCACGACCCCTGCCATCTCCCTTTCCTCCAATCCATTCTGAAGGACAGTGGCCCATGGTTGATTAGTAAGTTAGCCCAAGTAATAATACTCTCTTCTGTGCTTGAATTAGTCCATGTTGGTGGTGGTATTACCACAGCTATATGTTATTGCTCATTCTGCGAGTCCACTGTGCACGTTCAATTGTGCACACCTTTTAATTGGATTAGCATTTACACAAGAATAATCTCACTCACCAGGAATCGTTTATATTTCCCATTTTCCTCTACGCTGGTAAATCAGCAAAGTTGTCAAAGGTAGACAGATCTATTCTACCTGCAGCCAGAATGGAATATAGACTAAGTAGGCTATAGGTGCATCAATCAAGATAAATTGAGTAGTGAGCTTTTGAGGATGTTTAACCAGGTCCAATGGGGTACCATTTTAAATGCTATTGATCAAGTTTGAATGCATGCTTCATGCAATAGCATTTGGTTAAACAGTGCTTTGGTATGACTGATCCATCTAGGCACTGAAACCTTGACTTAAGCTGCTAAATACAGAGCCAAAGAATGTAATATTAGTGGCAAGAAACTAGGATCCAGCAATAATTCCAAATCATAGCAACCAAAGATTTAATAGGACAAAGTCTAGAGGCCAAAGTCAGATTGTATATGTCAGAATATTCACAGTCTCTTTTTTCCATTATGATTAGGGACACAAAACTCCTTTGTTATAAGTATTCCCCCTTTTCACATCAGGATATTTATATCAGATCCCAAACTAAGGAGTAGAGTTAGAGTAATTGAAACAGCTTATGGAAGCAGGAACATTGTTAGCTATCAAACAACCCATACCTGAGGACAGACCTTATGATCGTACCAAGACATGGGTTGAAGATCGTGAATGCAATTCCATTTGCAAAAGTCCATGTATGGGG